AGAATAAATATATATTAAGCAGGTACATTTGGCAGTAGTTGGTAATTGAACTAAATCTTGAGTGTTAAAATATAGGTAAGTTAATTTTTGATGTTTTTTCTAATTAGTGAAGTTTAAACAGTATGGTTTCTATATTTGTTCATATAATTGTTTGTTAATTTTAAGTAGTATATTAAAAATAGCAGTGTAGGATGCTATCTTGTAAGGAATATTAAAATCTTGAATAGTATTAGTTAAAGATATTAGAATTAAATCCTTTAGTATAAGTTCAATATAGTATGAGCTTGGTTGAGTAGCTAATTAATTAAAAGCTTCATAATTGTATATCTTATAAATAAGTTCATCTATTTGATTATTAGGAAGGTCTAATTTAGTAGATTTGAGGTATTCAGTTGTGACTGTAGTAATAGTTTGATTAAGTAGTCTGAGATTATTACAGCTAAGCCAATGTGTTAAAGAATCTAGAGTATTACAGTAAAAGCAATTAGGATTGTCAAAATAAGTAGAATAAAGAGTGTGGTGAAGGAAATATGTTAGTAATTCATTAAGAAGAATTTTAATCTTAAAGGATTTAAGTTGATTAAGTTAAAAATTTGTTATATTAGAAGTTAGCTTTTGATTGTAATTAAAATATAGCCAAGTAGACCTCCAGTCAATTCTATAATTAAGTAAGGACTATTGGTTGTTTCGTTTTTGTGAAGACTACATTGCTAGTATTTGAGCTTTGTATATTGTTTTAATCAAATATTGTGTAGAATGTTCAATAAAGAATTGATTTTTATTTCATTGTAGAATGTGGTATGGATTGTATATATTTGTATAATTAAAGTATAACTGTGTTTCAAGTATATATTTTTAGAAAGAAAGTTTGCTAAATTATTAAAGGTATTGTATGAATGAGCTAAAACTTTATGAAAGTGATTTGGAGCTTGTAGAATTTAATAGTATTTAAAAGTATATGCCATAAAGGCCAGGAGTTAAATTTAAGGAGTTTGGTAGGATTCATAAAAGATGTATTAAGTTCATCACATTTAGATATGATAAATTAGAAATCTGTATATATATTGACTATTGAATTATGTGGTATAGTTAAGATAGCTGATAGTATTAAAAAAAGTTCTGCTTTGTATAATGATGGCCATAGGCCAATTTTAGCTAAGAATTTTTGAATTGCTTCATTATTGTTATTTCATCTTAAACTCATCATATACCCATTAAGCATTAATTAGTTCTAATATTAATAACCGAACCATCAGTATAGAAATTAAAAGTGTTTTAGTTGAGGTTGCATAAAGTGATTTCTTCAAGTTTAACTGTTTTACTGTTAGTTTGAAAGATTGAAGATACTAGTAAGTTGTTAATTGGAATAGAGGATATAAGTGATGGTAAGTAGTCAAGAATTGAAAATTTAACTGCTGCAGAGAATATGAAATCCATATAGTTAAAGATCATTTTTAATTTAGATTTTGTAAGTCTACCAAAGAACTGTGCAGAAGTAACAGCTGATGTATTTATAGTACATACTGAGGTTAATCTTTTAAAATCAAGATAACATCTTGAACAAGGATGATAATCTATAGAAGGTAGTAGATAATAGCTTGTAATGTTTGTATTTATATTTGTTTGCTAATGAATAATAGAAAACTTATTGGATTTGGGTATAATTTTATGAATTTTGCCTAAAATAATTTTATTATTATTAAAGCTAATTAGCCATGGTTAAGATTGTTTGATGTAATATAGGCAAAAAGGTTAGTGTCTGTTAGTTAGTAATGTGTATATAAAGTAGATTATGTTTATTTTGAATCACAATATCTTTAAGAATACTGAACGATTTAGATTTAATTTCTCTGAGTAACTGTAACAATTTAAGTAAAAAATATTACTATTTCAGAAGACATATATTATCTGCTATACAGAACTATTCCAGGTAAAGTAATTTTAATTTTCTAAGTTGTTGTTTAAAGATAATATAGTTGGGGTGTCTGTTAAGAATTTTTTCCAATGGTTGTAGGTTATATTGTATAGTGTTAGGCTATATAATTTCTAAATTAGCTATTATAGTAATATTGAATAGTAAAAGAGTTAAATAATTTTGAAGTTTAGTGTTTGTTTATTGGGACCATCAAAAATAGAATTATGATGCTGTAATATATTTGTAGTTGACCAAAGGTTGTTTTGAAGTTGTTGTAGTCTAATACAAGTAGAAATACTTAGGGGATGAGGGTTGCTAATTCTTAAATGAATGTTGGTAATATGGTGTTGAAGTTGTATATCTCAAATATTACAAATATTGTATAAATATAGATTAAGCATAGTACTGTTAGGAATAGATCTTGATAGATTTGATTTATGCTTAGTAACTATAAGATACTCAGCCAAGATATTATACTATTCTTGTTGAATATATACTTTAGGATTATATTTATTTTTTTAATCTTTGTCAAATAATTCTTAACTAATTGGCCTGTAGTTAGTTCATTAATTAAAGTGGTGTTGAATATAAGATTTGATGTTAGTTGGGTCAGTAATAATATTATTGTTTGTCTTAATAATTTCAAATCTAACAGGATCTTTATATCAATTTAAAATATTTTTAATCATTGCTTTTGAGTTTGATTGAAGTTAATTACATCTTTTAGCAATGTTGTTATTAAATTGTTAACTAATCTCTTTCATGTTTTCAATATTGTGTATATGATATAATGCTTTCCATTCTATATTGCTAGTAGTAATCCAGTTTGTTAATAAGTAATATTTAGATAGTATTGGTTGAATATTAAGTTGATAAGTTTTGTAATTTGGTTGATGGTATTGTTGAGGTTAAATGGAATAGGTAATTGATTTTTTAATGCAGCTTTTATTTGTCAAATAATATTTTCAAGTTTTTTGATATTGAAATATAACAAGAATGCTTTATATGAAAATATATGTTGAAAATTGCGTACTGTATATTTTTTGTTTGGAATGTAATGTGGCATTAATGATACTTGTTTGAATTTATACCAGATTGATTTAAGTAATTCAAATATGTTGGTGTCCAGTGGTGTGTTGTTATTTCTAAGATTAGAGACAACTTCATAGTAAAATTTTGCTATGAATCCTAATTCATGTTCTTGTAAAGAAATACTATTTTGCAGATTTTGGTTGTAGTTTATTTTTTATTTATAAAAGCATATAGAAAGGACCAGAAAGAAATTAAAATCTTATGGTTACTTGTAGTACTAGTATCTAAGTTATCAGTATGGAAAAAACTTAGATATCAAAAAATTATATGATTAGCCTATATGTAGTCAATACAACTTTGAGCTTTATTACTTTGCCAGATAAATATTAAGGATTGTGTATGAGTTGCTAAGTCATATATGTTGTTATATTGGAGAAACTAGAATAGTTTATATTTAATAGAGGTCGAGTATAAATTGTCATTTTTTGCATTAAAATCTTCTATATAATTAGTTGCAGATTATTAGCAGTTGCTTGTTGGATCTATTGAATGATTGTATTTTGAATTTATAATATAAGTTGTAAGTCATCATTAGGTAGATATATAGAAATAATTCTAAATTTAAAATTATGTTTAAAGAAAAGATCGATAGCAATTGCATATTCAGAAAAGGTTGTAATATTGTGTATATGAGATTAAACCATTTGCTTAGCATAATCGCTGTACCTGCTTTGAAGCTATTAGTATAGAACCAGTAATATAAGAAAAATTTAGATTTTTGAAATTTGGTACTAGTATTTTTATTAGCAATTTTGGTCCCAGTAATGCTTATAATATTAAGCTTGTTAGCAAGGCAAAATCTTCCCAAACTTATTGTTTGAGATTAACATTATATCCCGTACATTGTGTATACATATAGAGATATTAAGTATCTAATTAGTTCTAGAGTTAACAGAAATAGTCTACTAGTAGAGTAGTTGTACTAGATAGGAGGAAGTAGTAGAAAAAGTAGGTATATTTGATTTAAATCTTAGTAGAATATTGTTTAAGTCAAATATTATAAAAAAAATATGGTGGTTTGATAGTATATTAGTATCATTAGATAAGTATACAAGTGCTTCAGTTTTATTACTATTAACTTAAATATGAAAGTAACAAGCAAGATGCTTAGATTGTTTTGTGTTAAGTGTTTTCTAAATGAATTGATATTATTACACTGGTCCTCTGCATATAGAGGCTTTACTGTCTGCCTCCATATCTCATTCCTCTTACTAACTACAAACATATATCTTTTAGTAAGGTGGTAGCTGCATTAATGTCCTACAAAAGATCTTAATTGTTTATATAGTATTTGTTTGTGTTTGTGTACATGTGTTTGTATTTGTAATTGCATGTGCTAGTATGCAATCCTATACTGCATCCAGAAATAACTCTTATATAGTCTTATCATGGATTTGTACCAGTCATATAGCTTGTATTTCTTCATAGACCTGACTATTAACTTTTTTAAAATAAATGCTATACTCAGGATTTGCAAGTAGTCCTTCTTAATTAGTGCTCTAGCTCATAGTAAATAAAATCTAGTTACAGCATCTTATGCTAGCATACTCAATTAAGTTAACATATCTGTTGATATACAGATTAAGTATTTAATAATTGTTGCTAATAGAAATTGAACCCTGGATCTGCTATTTGGAGATGACAACTTGACTACTTCACTAAGTCACTATTAGTAGTACTAAAACAGGAGTTCTGGGTCAGTTTTCCATTACTCCTCTCCTATTTGCCCTCCTAGGTATACCTAGAGCCTCAAATTAGGTATCATCTACCTTTTATCCTATCTGGCCTTCTAAGTATATCTAGAGCCTCAAATAGAGTATTAACCCCTCTTTGGTATCCTTTTTAAGCCTCTAAGTATATCTTGAGCCTCAAATAAGGTATCTACCTTCTTATACCCTATTTGGGGTTTTTAGGGCTTAAAACTTATCAAATACATTATGATATCCTATTTGGACTATAACTTTCTAAAAATCTACCTCCTTTTGGCGCCCTGGTTGGGCTTTGTAGCCTCTTTGGTACTCAATCTGTATTATTAAGTAACAAAAAATTCTGACTGGTTAACGAAAAATTGGGATTTGGGTAACGGAAAATTATAATTAAACAAAAGTATTTTATAAGAATTATATAGTAGTTTTGTTACTGTAATATTATAATAGTTACTTATACTTGTGATAGATGTGGTGATATTTTTCCTAAATTATGGAGACTTAGACGCCATCAAGAAAGAAAGTTCCTATGCAAGCCTGCACCCAACCCTCAGTTACCAGGCCCTATACCAAATCATGAAGCCGTTCCAGGCCCTGCAACTCAAGCTTACAGAGAAAGGGTTCAAGAAAAAGAGTACGCTCCTGAAGAGAATTTTTAATCAATCTGTGAAATAGAAAATGGCATTGTAGAAAAAGAACCTCCCTCTGAAGAAATAAAATTTCTGAAAAAAAGACCTGATACAAAAAGGCTACATAAAAGTTTGGATGCCGTGACCTTTTAGGAAGCTATAGTCCCCTCTAACAAAAACCCAGCATACACATTTAATAAGTGCCAAGACAATTCAATAGATTATGCCGATGCGCCATATTTGCCTCAACTTATGGGAAGTGCAAGAGGGGCTATTACAAAGGTCTTAAAGGAAGAGTTACAGAAAAAAGACTAAATAAAATCTGCACTAGTAGTATCCACCACCTATGTAAAATATAAATATAAAAGTGGGGATCCTAGTAATATTGAAAACTATAGTGCAAGTTATCACCATCCTTACCATAGAGGAAACCAGCATTTGCTTCTTTCAAAAAGTGATATAGATGAGTATATAACTAGATCTGCAGGAGAAATCGATAAAAAGATTGAAACATACTTAAGAGAAGAGTCCGGAAAAATTCTTTTAAGATTAGAAATAGTTTTTATTGAGGCTTATACTTATCGTAGGTCCCTTGGTGGTTCATATATTCCTACACCAATGAGGCTAGTGTCGAGGCGAGAGTTAATTAAAGTATGTGTCGCTCTAAATTCTTGCCCAGACGGCTTGAATTGTTAATTTCGCACTCGTAATCCTTACTACGTTCGCTCCGGTCTCAACACCTTGTCCCTTTTACTCAACGACGACTACGACCTTCTACCTTTTAGGCACCACAACGTACAAGTCAGAGTTTTAATAAATTTCTTACGAACAAGCAGAAGTGGAGGTATCGATTCATAAGATCGATACCCCTTTTATTTAATTAGCAGGTGACCTTACATCATAATTTGGTCACGCATGTTTAACTCTTTAATTGACTTTTAACTAACTTTTCCTATCACGCCATTTTTCTATTAACCCTGATTACTACATTATTTATGCGCTTAAATCTATTACGACATTATTCATGCAGCGCTGACTAATTTATACGTTACTCATTTCTCTAATTTATGCATGATCGATTCTATTAATTTATGTGCACCCTAGTCCCTTACGCCCCGATCTTCCGATCTATACCGGACATCACGTGAATCACGTGGCCCACGTGATTCACGTGACGCATTGTTCGTTTCGCCCTACCACCTACACTTATTATATATTTATTATTATTATTATTATTTTTTTTTTTTTTTTTTTTTTTTTTTTTTTTTTTTTTTTTTTTGCTTTCTTCTTTTTTTGTT